ATTTGTCGACAAGGATCTGGGGATGTCTCAGTGTGTCAGCGCCTCAGTCACTTTGATGGATGATGGAAGTTCACTGACTTTAACACTCCCTCTCTCCCTCCTTCTGCCTCTGGCTCTCTCTCTGACTCCCTCTCTCCCTCCTCCTCTGCTCCAGCTTGGTGTGTGAGCATAACTGTGTGTGTGTCGGAGATGTATCACACACCAGCTCATGATTTAGGCATATTAAAACAAAAACTTCCCTGCAGCTCCCACTTCACACACACCGTGCCGCCATTATTTAACTTGACTGTCTTTGTTTTCGATGGTGTGTGTGCTTGTATCCAGTGTGTGTATTGACCAGGTGGGGCCATATATCAGCTCAGGTCTTTATCGATGCTGCGAGGCAGGGAGGCCTATCGATGAGGCTCCTTGTTTTAGTGGAGCGAGACTCGCCCCAGGCCACAGCTCCACCCTGCACACACTCTGAGATGAACAATAAGAGAAATCAGGGCTACACCGGGTTATAACGGGGAATAAGAGAGCTGCTGGAACTTTAGAATGATGTTTGAACCTTTATAATACAACCTTGATCAACAGTATGAGATATACTTCATTTGTCAAATTGGGGTTGTATTTGAACAAATATCTAGTATTTCTGCTTTTAGCTGGCTTTAACAAACATCATGAAGAAGGGACAGAAATGAAAAAAGAGTTCAAAATATGACATTTATTGAGTTTTGGACATTTCAGATGTGAGCTATTTTCGTTAGCAGACCGTTGCTAAAGAGGAGGTTCTGATCAAGGGACTTTGTGCAGTCATATCAATCCGCAGAAAGAAGTCCGGTCAATTTAATATCATCTGTGTACAACAAACATTAGTTGTCAGGTTAAAAGCAAGAGCGCTGGACATCATAGAAAACAGCAGGAATGAAACACTAACAGACAGGAAGTAAACACTAAACAGAACAGCAGAAGAAGACAGACAGGAAGTCAACACTAAAAGGAACACAGTGTGGGCTCTGGCAGTGTTAAAAGACTGGTTAATGGAAAATAAAATGTGAACAGACTTGGTCAGTAACAGAAAACCTTTTTTTAACATTTCAAGTTACGTTTCTGTCACCGCAGTTCAGCCGTTGGTACGCAGTGGAAGAGCAACTTTTTCTAAGTGGAGGCCATACGATCATTTAAAAACAATATTGTGGGTCAAGGCCTGTGTTTATTTAGTATAGCGGTGCAATAAGCAGGATAATGTGCTGTACTCACTTCATGAAGCTGTATAGACTTTGATCTCATCCCTTTGTCATACAACTGTAAAGGTCAAGTATGATATATAAAAGTCTACCTTTAGAACTAAAAGTGCTCAGCGTATATGAACAATCATGATCAAATGAATAGTTTTATGCCTTTATAAATATACAATTACAAAGGATTAAATATACAATAACAGTGTCTGTTGTAGAGTATTCTCATTTATGTTACAATATAATTTGAACTAGGCTGGAACACAATTTATTATTTATGTAAAAAACAATGAAAGAAAGCCTACATGGGATACTGTATTGTTAGGGTTAGGGTTTGTTACAGAAACTAGTTGAACAGCAATTGATGTAATGGCTTTGGCTCTGGTTTGATCTTAAACATATTGCATTAGTTTGCTTATTTATTTCATTTTTCAACTTTAGAATACTAACATTGCACCTGTTCTTTGAATTGCCTAAACTTATAGAGGAACAAATCCCCAAAAAGGCTTTAGATCTTGAGATTCCACTTCCTAAGGTAACAGAGAAAAACTGTGTCTTTTTTAATCACTTTCATATTTTAAGTCTTTGAAATGGATGCTTGTATACAGATATTTTACAAATAAGTCAGATCCAATCCCCTTTGATGAAACCTACATTTTCACTATTTTTGGTTATGAGGAAAATCAAACCATCCATTTCACAACTTAGACAAAGTAAAGTCATGAAAAAACATGGGTTTATTTTTTACTTTAAACAGGCCTTAGTTTCTCTACTAATGGCGCATTTCCACTGCAGGGCCTCGCACGGCTTAGTACGGTATAGTTAGGCCTTGGTAGGCCAGGCTCACTTTATGCTGCGTTTCCATTACAGTTTAGTAGCCGGGACAGTAACTATAGTAACGCAGTGTAGGCGTAGCCGTGACGTCATCTTCAATGCGAACCACAAAACAGCCGTTAGCTGTTAGCCCTCAGAGCTCACAGCTCCTCATATCTGTTCAGAAACTAGACAAAAGTGAAACAAGTACAAACCACAGACTGCCTGTGTCATGGCGAATACAGTCGCTGCTTTATTTATGTCTGTATAGGCCGTTGTTGTGAGTGTGGACGGTCGGAGCATATACAACGTTAGCTTAGCCGATCTCCATTCAGAAAGCACGCATTTTAAAAGGTTTTTCGCCTGCCGTCTGTCTGCAGACTTGTCAAAGCATTAATTCATGGTTTTTACTAACCGGTATCAGTATGTTGTTACTTCAGCATCATTTTGAAACGTGTATTACAATTAAATCACGGTCAAATATGTTCATCTTGTTGTAGTTGTAGCCCCCTTGCCAGCGATTCTCTCTGACCATTCAGCAGTCGAGAGTGTTTACGTCACTAGTTTAGCATATTCAGCCCGGTTGTTGGCCCGGTAAGACCCTCGATTTTGGAGGGCCAGAAAAAAGGTGAAAAAGTAGCCCTGAGCCGGAACTACCCCTAGTGGAAAAGCAAAATAAAACGGGCCGGGTTTGGCACGGCACGCTTAAACCGTGCTACACGCTGCAGTGGAAATGCGCCATAAATGTGTTGTAGCAATGTCTTTGTCATCATCTCAATAAGTAAATGAACTTGTAAACACAATGTATATCAGTTGGTTCTGATAACACTAACAAATAAGAATAAAATGATAAAAACAGGAAGAAGTAAGAAAGTGCTCTAAGTCTACGGTGCATGGCAATTAACTTTTTATAGAAAGTAGGCCTAAGAGGTTAGATCATAAACATGTGCACAATCAGAACTGACATAAAGGATATTTAATATAAAATAAGTAAAGGTATAAATTGCCACTAAAGCTTAAATAGAGCTGTATATTTGTGTGGGTGAATCAAGTGTTCACTCCGACTATTAGGACATCACAAAGCCTTTAAAAATCATTAATCGTTTCCAAATCTAACGAGCACAACAAGGTCCTGTTTCATTATTGATGACTTGACTCGTTTGCTGCTGGAGATTTATATTTTTCTTCATTTACGTGAAGTGAGCCTAAGTAAACTCTAAATTGAGCATAATGCCTCTCTGCCTGGGGAGTCGGAGACGTCTGTGAGCCAGGAACGATGTAGCTACAGTCATCGGCAAACTGCTTTATTATGCCCAACACCATCAATCTCCATGCATAGGAATCGCCAACTTCAATCGCACTATTGGAAACAGCTAAGGTCAGACCTTTATCCCGCCTCAAAAAAGTTGCAGTGATTGATTTTTCACATTTTTAAGCCTTTTCAACAAGATTTTGAGCAGTGCGGAAAAAACAGGGTGCCAAATGGATTCATCATCATCTTTTAGAGGAGATGATTATTTGACAGGCATGTAAATTAGAAGCCAGGACAGGGGTGAAAGAGCAGGATACTCACCTCAAGAGGGGAGGGAAAAGGAATCACACCAACTGAAGCAAGCCAGGAATAAATGGAGAAAAATGGAGATGGGAGGAAAAAATGTCAAGTCTTATTAGAAACATGATTTTCAAAACAGAGGTTGTCATCAAAGGAGTATCAGTTAATTGATCTATCTCATCTCTATATGGGATGTCATTTGCATCAATTTCCTTTGGTCTCTGTGTTTGTCGTTCTCTATGCTGTGTAAATGTTTGTGTGTTTGGGGAAGATCTACAGAGAAATATCTGCGTGGGTGAGGTGGTTTATGATCGTGATCAAACTTCTGTTAGACAAATAAAGCCGATATTCTTTCTCTTGCCATGAACAAAGGATGTGCTCTCGTTCTCCCTCAGACATGATCACATGCTGTGTTTTTATTTGATAATCTTTTTTGGAGCTTATTGACGGACAGACTGGTGGTTTGAAGATTTCCTGTTTCATCTCCCAGTCTTTTAACAGCCATGGTTTAGTTATGAAATCCTGACATTTATTCTAACTCAGTGATAGTGATAAGGTACACAGAGTCACTTTGTCTCCCTTACTCTTGTGTCACTGCTTTGTCTGTCTCATATAGCAACATGAAGGAACTGTTAACATCAACTAGCAAGCTTTGGTCGTCAATGAGAAAGGTTAAAATCAGCATTAATGTTGGTAACTTAGGCCTGTCTAGTTGTCCCTGAATGTAGAAAAAGGAAACCTAAAGGGAATCAGACAATTAACATATACACAAATACACACTTTATTTATATTGTAGTGAGACAACGGTTATTTTACCTTCCTGATTAATGTAAAACACACACTTGTAAACTATGTTAGAACAGTGTAAAGACTAACAATCACAAAAATGTATCAATTCGTCACACTAAAAATGATCATAAAATAACTAAAAACACAAAAAAAATACACTATTTCTTCTTTTAAGAAGGTTTTCCTGTGTTCCTTATGCAATCTTTATCAATAGAATGAATATGGGATTGGTAAACCAACTGGGAGTAGAATTCTGCCTGCTTTTGATTGAAAGCCATTTCAGAAACCAAACCTGCCATTATTCACTTCAGTATGTGGATAAGCACACACAGGTTTAATTTATACTAAGATCGAAAATCTATAATAGAAACTTTGAGGGACAGTTTTATGTGTCATGTTGGCTTGAAAAGGGTGCGTCGGGTCGCTATCAAACTGTGAGGTTCACTGTATGAGTATCAAAGCCAGTATTTATCTAACTGTAGAAACAACATTCTGCTTTGGTAATTGACTAGATACATGTAGATTTGGCCATACAGTATGCACCTCAACTCAGATAAATAAACTAGTCTCGAAGATATCCAACATTACTAACCCACTGGTTTGTTTTCCTCCATCTATCTGTGCAGGGTAACCAAGAGGCCCCAGCTCCCCCTGAAGCCATGGCCCAACCCTTCCCCCCAGCCCAGTACCCCCCCCCACCACAGAACGGGATCCCCGCTGAATACGCCACGCCCCACGCCCACGCCCACCCCCACCCCCCGGCAGACTACACAGGACCCAGCACGGTGAACGAGCACGCCCTGACACTGTACACGCCGACACACTCACAGAGCGAACAGCCGGGAAACGACAGCAACACCCCCAACCTCACAGCCAACACAGTAACGGTGAGTCCACACTTTATACAAACGTCTTTATGAAACATGTGCAATGAAGTGTTTTTTGGTGTATTTCCATTCAATGTAAAGGATTTCCTTGGACCCTCCATGTTGGACAATATTGTGCCCTTTTGGAATAAAGGACACAACTCAATGAAATAGAGTTAGAGATTAGTCCATTACGTTACCCACAAAAACATGGCTTAACGGAACAGGACAAAAACATAAGAAGTAGTAGAGTAACATTAAAACATTTACATCAGGAAAACTTTGACCTTTCCCCTCCAAGCATCATAGATTCAAACACAAAGTCCACCTCCTCTTATTTCACTGGAGTCCAACACTAACTCCTGCGAAGTTTAACAACATAATTCGCAATGCCAAGATCTAACCACAGAATCCTGGGTCATATTTTCTTTTGACCAGATATCGTCCATGAACGGGCCGGTTAGTGGAATAGCCTTTGGTCCCAGCTAGGTTAGCTATGCCACCATTTCTACTCTCTTCCATCTCCTCTTGGGGTGTTTGGTCCAGCAGGTCTGGATCACTGGCTAAGTGGTCGGAAAATGCCGTAGGCGGTGACCCTCTGAATGTCCACTGCACTTTACCCAATCCCCATGCTTCTCTGTCATATTCCATATGTGCTCCAGTAAAAAGGAAGACAACTCAGACAAACAACCATTAAAACAATGTAGCATTGAGTCTCACTCTCATCATTGAATGTGGAACACAACATGCACACACACCTGGCTTAGGAGCTCACTGTGTACTACAAGAGACATAGTTACTGCAAAAAAAGGATATTCCCTGAACTGTAATAAAAGTTGTTTTGGTTTTCAACTTGACACTTAAGCAGGTCAATGCAGACCATACAGAAGGGTCCCACAAACCAATCTTTCGATGCGATGTCGTTGGGAAACACTTTTTTAGGTTGGCCTTCTTGTAGATAAAACATGATAAATGGCCCTTAAGGGTTCCATGCCAGCAAAGAAAATATGATAAAGTGCCCTTTAGTGTGTTCTACCATTACAGTGAACTTGGTAAAGGTATCTAGGATATTCTTCAAAGAAAGTAAACTTATGGTTAATGTTGGAGTTCCCAATATAGTGCCCTTTTATGGGAGAAAACATATTGATGCCTTTAATTAGAGAAAATTCAGTGCACTAATTGTTGTGAACACACGATGCAGTGCCTTTGATTGCACCCTTACAATTAGATGTAGTGCCATATAGTCTGCCTTACATGCTCATTAAAGGGTCCCTATTAGGATTTGGGGGGTTTCCCTTTCCTGTATTGTGTTATATAGGTTTTTATGCATGTAAATGGTCTGCAAAGGCTAAAATCCCTGTGTTCACTCCAGAGGGAGTTTCTCCCCGCTAACTGAACACCTTCAGTTAGCGCCATCCTGCATATTTATCTAAATAGATAATAATGTGCACCACACTGTGGCAAACTCCCTATAAGGGAATAGTTTTTGTCCAGCGAGTGGTGAGACTATTGCACAAATTAAAATATCTTTCTATACTCTGTGTGCATGGCGTCCCTCATAGAGAGTGAGCAGTCTACAGTGACATTGAGCTTCATTCACAGGGTGTCCGCGGGGTCATAAAAAGTATTAAAAGTTGATAAATCAATTTAGCGAAAATTAAGGCTATTAAAAAGTATTAAAGGGCATTTTCCAAGGTATTACATGTTGTAGCTTGTTTTCAATAAGTATATAAATTGTCCATAGAGGTTGTATTCTACAGTCTGCCTGAATGTAATCATTGCGTAGGTGTGTAGTGTGATTCTGTGTAGTTTATTTATGGCATCCCGTTGGATCTGACGTCATCTGAACAGGACATCGCACGCTCACTGCTTGATAGCGCGAAGGCCCGTTTACGCCGGTTGTTAAACAACATCGTTATGGGGAAATGCAAGTCTGCGTCCAAATGGTTGGAAGATAAGGAGGAAGGACAATCAATACTGTATATAGTAAATGTGAGGTAAAGTGTGTCGCCAAGGTAACCGATTAAAACTCCAAGTGGCGATGAGGTCTTAAAATGTATGGAAAGGGTCTTAAAAAAGGTCTTAAAAGGGATTACATTTGACTTCAGGATTCCTGCATATACCCTGATTCAGTAGTACAAACAAAGCCATAAAACATATTCCTGTTGCTGGTGCTCCTCATAAAAGCAGATCACTTCATCTATCTGCCATAAAACAATTAGGTCACCTGTTGGTCACTGTTTAATAGAGTCGTTTTACAACATCCTGCCACCCTCAGGCAAACAAAATAGAACCAGTATCAGCAGTTTTATAAAGCATTTCAATTTCATGTAAAAGCTAAGAACATATTTTTCCTAAATGTTACATGAAGATTATATTAGGACATTTCGAAAATACATTTAATGCTACGATTTCCTTGACAGAAAAAATGTAATGTAACCCACCCTCAGCTTTCTTATAAAGCGGAAACATGCTACATAGAAAAAGAGATCCAAAATATCGAGATAATTAGACTAGAGTTTAAATTATCTCTATTTTAACATCAAGCAAATGCGGAAATGCATGCACAAAGTAAACATGCACATACTTGTACACACAGCAGGGACACATTGGTGGCTGCATGTGACATATCAACCAAATTGTAAGCTTCTTTCCAACAAAGAGCTGCAAACACACACACACACACACACACACACACACACACACACACACACACACACACACACACACACACACACACACACACACACAGAATGCACATAGGGAATGGTAAGGATGTCCACACTATAGTTAACTGCACCACTACTTGTCTCTTGTTGAGGAGCCTTCAAGCTGTCAGGGCCAATAAGAATGGAGCATGCTGGGAAGACATGGGAGAGTATAGACAGTGATGGCAGTGTGGGGGAGTCCAGCGAGAGAAGAAGGCACGGTACAGTCAGCATTACTGGGAGTGTTTTACAGTCACTGTGGAGAGTTTGTCACAAGCTGTAACTGTTACTGTCAAGAGACATAGTTACTGCAGAATAAAGGAAAATACACCATATACACGTTCACTGCGGCCTTAAAGGCACTTACTACATTTACTGTAAAAAATACAGTATGCTGTCAAACCAATATATCAGGTTGAAACTATTTACCAACCACTAATATTAGCCTCTATGGAAAGATCTTGACCTGAAGTTCTCCACAGTATCAGCTTTTTCAATGTTATTGTCTTCGGAAGTATAAACTGCATTTATTTAAATATTGTAGTACGGCAACTGTACATTACTGGTGTGGTTCACTTTACTTTTTACTCTACTGCATTAACATCTGTGATCAAAATAGTTGCAAGTTTCACGTCTAAAACTTGTAATATATCATATTTTAACTGTGGTTCAGGAGGTAGATGGTCGTCCTCCAATTGGACGTCTGGAAATTCAACCCTCAACCCCTGCAGTCAACATGTCTTTGTGTTTTTGAGCAATATACTTAAACCTAAATTGCTTCTGATGGCCAACAGTGTGTGAGTGTGTATGAATGAGCAGATGGCCCCATGTATGGCAGCCTCTGCCCCTGTGTGAATGGTGACTGCTGACAAGTTCATGTCAAAGCGCTTTGAGGGGTCGCAACAACTGGAAAAACGCTAAATGAAGGCAGGCCATTTACCATTGAGAAAGAAGAAAATATAACATAACAAATAACAAAATGGTTTCATCATGCATCCAGTAATATAAATCTTGATTTCAATGCATGTGATATATGATGGTGTGAGTGGTTTTGATCTAGAGTTTATCTGTCTGCTTGTGCTGTTCATACTGTCTCTTGTCCAGTTGTGTTGCCCTTTGACATGGTGGCGTTCCGCACAGCTGTCGTCGAGGACGTCATTCATTGTATGCCGAAGACCATCTATGAGACAAGGGTTCAATTGGCACCCACTTTACTTTTGGTCTCATTTTGTGTGTGTGTGTGTGTGTGTGTGTGTGTGTGTGTGTGTGTGTGTGTGTGTGTGTGTGTGTGTGTGTGTGTGTGTGTGTGTGTGTGTGTGTGTGTGTGTGTGTGTGTGTGTGTGTGTGTGTGTGTGTGTGTGTGTGTGTGTGTGTGTGTGTGTGTGTGTGTGTGTGTGTGTGTGTGTGTGTGTGTGTAATCCCTGGTGAGAGAAAGCTCTGTAGCAGTCTAACCGTGTGTAATCTACCTATCTGGCAGCAATCCTATCTGATAGCTTCCATTATAGGCCCAGGAAGGGGCACTGCTGAGCTCAGCTAGTCACACACACACACACACACACACACAGTTATATGCACATATGTTCACAGAAAAACACAGTAACGACACATCTGGGATATCCAACGTGTAATCTAGGAAAGGTGTTCCGCGCTGTTTAGGGTGTGTGTGTGTGTGTGTGTGTGTGTGTGTGTGTGTGTGTGTGTGTGTGTGTGTGTGTGTGTGTGTGTGTGTGTGTGTGTGTGGTGTGTGTGTGTGTGGTGTGTGTGTGTGTGTGTGTGTGTGTGTGTGTGTGTGTGTGTGTGTGTGTGTGTGTGTGTGTGTGTGTGTGTGTGTGTGTGCGTGCGTGTAGCATAAGGGAGGCATGGTTGGGCAGATTAGTTCTGTACAGCTTCCCTCCTCACACACAAATAGACACACATACTGTACAGCTCCGCACTGTTTCCGTGGTGACAGTGGGGGAAGCTCTGGCTGCTTGTGTATGATAATGTTCATGTAATTATTTCTTCTTCCTGCCTGGCTGCTTACACTCCATGGATGGTGGAGGCATGAGGACCAGTGGGAGAGAAAGAAGCACAGAGAGGGATTTCAGCTCTTTGACTGAGGAAGAACAAGGCTTACAGCACTAAAGCCGCTCACTTCCATACCTTGCTAAGCTTAATGAAAGGCTACAGCTTCATGTGCTAACACACACACTGAATGGGAGATTTCAGTGGAACAGGGATCAATACATATTTACGGATTTGTTGTGACACATTGGCTCATTTGAACAGGATTAGGTTGCATACAGTGTAATGGACTTACCATGTAAATAACAT